AGAAATAAAGTTGTTAAAATTAAATGTTGAGAACATTCTTATAAGAAAGAGAATGAAATCAACTCGTCTCTGCAGATGTCAGATTTGCAAGATAAGCACATGTGGAGACGGCTAGTCTGACCTTCGAGAGCTAGTGTGGGTTACGGTGGAGAAGATGTCACAGAGTGCACGTGCAAAACTGNTGAGAACATTCTTATAAGAAAGAGAATGAAATCAACTCGTCTCTGCAGATGTCAGATTTGCAAGATAAGCACATGTGGAGACGGCTAGTCTGACCTTCGAGAGATAGTGTGGGTTACGGTGGAGAAGATGTCACAGAGTGCACGTGCAAAACTGCATAGCCAGCACATTGTTCCAGGGTGAGTAACCAACTCAACGGCTGTCTCCCCAAACCATATAATCATTTTTTTCAGTCCTCAGTGAAGCGCGGCCGTGACAAGATCTTAATTATCGAGAAGTCGTGTTTTAGTGATCAAATGACGTTTCTCTCCAGTGCCTATGGACCCACAGTGCTAGTGGTTTAGTGACAGTTGGATTTAATGCATTAGGTTATCAATGACGATTTTCGGATTTTTCGGAGCCCTGTGAGGACAGTGCAGTGACAGGTAAAGTATTCTTTCAATATGTTTACGGTTTTCGCGGATTTTATCGGAGCACCGGTATGCTCTTTTAGTTCGAAAAATTTTGACCCCCCGAATTTTTGCTAGATATTGAGGCCTGAGGGCCAACGGTTCCCCCAAAACCACTCGGGATAGCGATACGCGTCCGCAGTACACGTTTTACCCCACCGCTCACACATACGTCAGAGCCGCGTTATTCAGATCGGTGCAATGGTGGGTCCCTAAATATATTAGTGATGGAGGGGGCCAATATTTTTGACTCCGAAATTTTAGTATCGCGGCCGAGGGACCAGCTGTTCCNCGATACACGTCCGCAGTACACGTTTTACCCCACCGCTCACACATACGTCAGAGCCGCGTTATTCAGATCGGTGCAATGGTGGGTCCCTAAATATATTAGTGATGGAGGGGGCCAATATTTTTGACTCCGAAATTTTAGTATCGCGGCCGAGGGACCAGCTGTTCCCCCAAAACCGCTTGGGGTTGTGGTACGCGCCCGCAGTGTACGCTGTACCCTCACCGCGCGCACACGTCGGAGCCGCGCTATTCCGATCGGTGTGGCGGTGGTGGGGTCCTATACTTATAAGCGGGGGTGGGGGGTAAAATTTTTGGCCCCAAATTTTAATTTCGTGGCCGAGGGACCAGCGGTTCTCCCGAAACCGCTCGGAGTTGGGATACGCGCCCGGGTGATGCACCCGCAGCCACGCTGTACCCCACCTGGGCGAATCGGAATTTTTTCTCTCTAAATTTCAATTCTATTTGAATTTATTTAATGCCTAAAGGTGGTTAGGTGGCGTGCTGAGTTGAATTTGGAGTGAGAATTTCCGTGGTTCCCGGTAGTTTAGTCGGTAAGAGTGCCCGGCGCGTAACTGGGAGACCCGGGTTCGGATCCCGGCTGGGCGAATCGGAATTTTTTCTCTCTAAATTTCAATTCTATTTGAATTTTTTTTTTTTTTCGACCACTCACACACGTCGGAGCCATGCTACTCTGACAAGTGTGGTGGTGGGGCCATATCGACTTTAGGTTGGGGGCGCCATAGTAGTTCCCCATCTTTAATCATTGGTAGTTTAATTAATTTCTTTTTAGTTAATGACTGTATTTAGATTAATCAATCGGTCAATGTCAAGGTGACAAATATTGCTACGTCCTCTGTTGACGTTTCCATCTTTTTCGACTCGTCACTTCGGCTTTTTAGCTTGATATAAGCTCTTTCTTGTATTTTTCGTTTTTATTTTTCAAGTGTCCATATTATAAAATATTGATTTTATCAAAAAATAAAGTGGACAGTTTTTATGTTTGTTTTTAGTCAATCTTTCGATGAGTAGGTGAACTTTTGCAAAATATTAGTTTGAGAATTTTTGTACTCTGAAGATTTATATTTCTTTTCATTATTTTCAATTTATTTCAAGATAACATCGAATAATAGAGTAACGTATGTCAATACGTAACAGTACGTGGACAATACTGTGTACTTTTTCTGCATTGTATGGCTATGTTTGCTACTCCTGAGAAATTCTATTCGTTATTCACCGATCGATTGATATCTAATGATCGTCTAGTGCGTGAATATCATGATGCATTTATGAAGAAAAAACGTAATAGTGGCCCCGAGGGGAAGTTATTTAGCCGTCGCGGTTATAATTGTACGTCGTGGAATCAAAAATGTAAGTAATTTATAAGAAAAATATGTCATTCAGGGGGACATTATTTTGGGGAAAATATACATGTAATTAATAACTGAAATTCTGTTTTTTTTTATTTCCCCTGTATGATAGCTGCTATGACGCACCCACAGCATTCACAGTCACTCCCACCCCACCACTCGCCCGCGTCGGAGTCGTGCTAGTCTGACCGGTGCAGTGGTGGGGTCGGAGTGACTGTGGGTGGGGGGCACCATAATAGTTCCCATACTACTTGCATTAAATATATTCGACGTATATTCGACGAATGTAGATAACTAGGGTGCAGCGTCAGCACTTTGCGCCCCGACCACTGGCCTTCGCGCGCGCTGGGAGACGTCACCCGATGTCTCGCAGGTGTGCGACGAAGAACAATGACCGCATGCAATCGAATTACACGGGTGCATAAAACACTGATGAATTCGTTGCTTCGGGGCCAGTTACTCGACGAGTCTCGAATTACCTTTTTTACACTTATACTCGCCTGATACCTTCAGTATCAATCCGGGTACTTATTTGTTTAATAAATGGTAAAACTAATCACATAAGTTCAATTTCCAATAAAGATAATTATTTCTACTATCTAATCGCGTGTAATCAATCCCTACATCGAACCCAACCGCTCGGGTCCATAACAATAAGGATTAAAAGAAATTTTGATCTTTCAATTCCTTTCATTCACGCTCCCGTGCAAACGCGTGATACGACCGAGGCGGTTATGGTCGCAGTCGATGGCCATTGGCTTGGTCAAGATCCCATTAGCACGGGAGTGAAATCCCCCCACCCCTTTTCGCGTTTTTTGTTGAAAAAAATGAAAAGATTGAAAAGTGACATTGTCCGATATATAACGCCTATATTGAGTTTTCGTTCACGCTGCCGGGAGAACGCATAATGCGATCGGAATGATTTTGATCATGATCGATAGGTTTTGACTTGGTCCAGATCTGATTAGGTTGGGAGCGAATTCCCTTTACCCCTTTTTGAGTTTTTTAGAGAAGAAGGGTTAATTTTAGATTTCTTTCGTTCACGCTCGAAAAAAAAGGGAATAATTGGAGAAAAATTATTGGTAATATAAAAAATTGATTTATTGTAAAAAATTGGGTGGGAATAATCAGGAAAAAAAATTAACAGAAATACGTCATCAATGCAATGAAATGAAACTATATTTAATAAAAAAAAAAGAATGGGAAAAAATGGGAATAATTGGGAAAAAATGACTGATAATATAAAAAATTGGGTGGGACTAATGAGGAAAAAAAATAATTCAACACAAATACTTATTAATTCAAGGAAATTTTATTTCCACCATTTAATAAATAAATGATATTCAATAAAAAAAAAATTGAATGGGACGCCGGGGGTCCTCCTGGCGCCGCTCTTCGTGGTGATCGCGTCCACTACGACGTCCGTCCCCGTGGACGCCCCAACGTCCACGACCGCGTCGGTTGCCACGGTCGGCCCAATGTTCACGACCGCGTCCGTTGCCACGGACGACCCAACGTTCGCGATCATTGTTTGAATGGCCGCCATCAGCCCTCTCCGCAGGTCTCCGACGACGTCCACTGCCAGGCCCAGCATGGATGAGCCGCGAATTTCTGCGGCTTTGCCCTCCATTTCGCCCGCGCCCTAAAATAAATTGAAAATTCAAAAATTAAACAAAAGCAATTTAAAAAAGATATAGAATGAGTGAAATAAAACTCATATTTGGGTATATTTCGAATACTTACCGCGACGTTGTGATTGGTGTTGCTGTTGCTGCTGTTGTTGTTGTTGTTGCTGCTGCTGTTCCTGCTGCAGCTTCAACAGCAAGGCCAACTGGTTCTGCTGCTGCGCCAACATTACTTCTTGCTGTACCAGCTTTTGTTGCTGGCACTGCAAGTATTGGCACAGCGCTGGCGGAAGCTTGCCCTCCAATTTTTCAACTGTAACGGGAGAAAAAAAAGTCATGAAAAAAATCATTTCTAAAACAATTAAAAATTAATTGTAATATTACAATAAACAATATTAATATTACTATAATAAAACTATACTAATATTAATATTACTATATTAATACCATATTAATATTACTATTGTAATATGTAATATTACAATAGTAATATTACAATAAGACAGTTATATTACTCGAATACACATAAAATATCGACTTACCTTACCACGTGTCAGAGACAATCTACCTCAAATAGCGCGTGAGGTCAAGAATTCAGCTCGATTCCCAGAACCATTTGAGGGGAGAATTCAATCCTCAAGCGCCGAGTTTGGTTACACTTATGTTTACATCCTGTCATTCTTTGCGCAGGAAGGATACCAATAGTTATCATCTATCGTTATTCAATTGAAAGTTTTCTTGGGTAAGGGTCATACTGCCGAAAGGGCCAAATTATCGACTGGGCCAAGTTACCGACGGGGCGGCAATTTTGATATGAAGGCCGGCTTACGCTAGAAATGTCACTTTTTCATTCAATAGGTTACGTTTCCCAGAGTTTGGAAATGAAAAACATTTTAATTAATATTTTCAATTAACAACCTCTAATTGATCAGTGAAACTAATGAGTGATGCCTAAAATTAAGCTGAATATATGGAATCTCGACAATTCAAAGAAGAGGTGAGTATTGCTCCAATATAATTGATCCAGAAAGCATTTATTATTGATGAGTGATTGATTGATCAATCCTTGATATTTTTGACAACATAGATTGCTCCTCGGGCCAACTGTGGAAATAATGAATGACGAACTGTGGAGAGCTCAACCCGAGTTTACAGAGTACAACTACTCTCTTCACATATCACTAATATCACCTGAAAAGAAACCGAAATCAGAAAGAAATGTTCGAGAGACCCCTCAGCAGCCCCAGGATGGATATTTATAACCAGGAACCTTAGAACATCAAGCTCAGTGTATGAAATGACTGCATCTTCTGATCAATTAACAACCTACGTAGAGAACGAGCGAAAAATTTATTTGTAAGTAGTTGATGAAACCAAAAAGTGTCGAGAAATATTTCTTCAGTGTTATGCATCTATTGAATAACTCTGCTTGAATTTTCTTCAACAGATTCTTTAGGTGAACGCGATCAACGTGAATCGGACAAATTTAATTCAGAAAATTATTCATATAATAATTTTGGTGAATGAATAATTAGCTTGCTATGTAATTCTTTCTGGAAGAAATATAAGAATACTTGTTTAGTAGAAATTATCATCACATAAGAGTATTTCTTAATATTGTCTCCTCAAGTGAATTGTTCCTGCGACGAAGAGATGGAAACTGTTGAATTGTTAGTTTCTGTTGAACGCATAATTGTCCTGAAATATAGTATAAAGGCGGATGACAAGTGTCACCATTGTAATAACCAGTGTAACCAGTGTAACAATTACATAGTTCATAATGCTCAACTCGCTAGGCAATTACATTTAATTTTCGTTGAACTTTTCACTATTTTTTTTTTTATAGAAAATTTGAAATTTCTGAGATTTTCCTGCTCAAAATGTTTTCTCACGTGAATTGCCACTTTATTCCAATTCTCCGACACGATTAAATAATCTTCTCAGCCGCCAGAAAATACAGCATCATCTCCAACATCGACCAAGAAAAAGCAGAACAATAAAAATGGAACTCAGATTCAAGCTCAGTAGTAATCTATATTTATTAAGCTAGTAAACTAGTAAACTGGTAAAAACTTGGGATATGCTTATTGGTTATTAACAAAAAAAAGTAAACAATGAAATTATTTGAATTATTCCATCATGATCAATAACTAAGGCTAATCGCTTTGCACCTCCTCCTCACTTGCACTAGGAGTCTCATAAGGGATTTCTTCTGGTGTCAGCAGAAACTGGAGGTCCTCGAAATACTCCCACACAGGTGTGAAAGTTTCCTCACTCTGTCTCTTCAATTTCAGCAAGGTGTAGAAAAACTCTCCAAGTTTCAAGAAGGTGGACCACGCCTGATATCCTAAAAATTCATCCACAAAAATAGAAATGACAATAGAAATCATTTCTATTGAATTTTCTATGATTTTGTGATCGGTTCTTCGGACGAATTCCCTACCTCATCGTCTGATTGTTTTCATTAAAATGTTGAATTTCCAATATTTTATAGAAAAAAGTGAATAAAAACCCATTTCCGATAAATTCCATCTCATTGAAATATTTTCCATATGAATCCAGAAACTCAAATTTTCGTAAATCTTAGACTAGAAAAAATCTAATAAATTTTATATTCATTAGATTTTTTTGTGGAAAAAATTTTCTGGAGAAAATGAATTAATGGTCGCGTAAAAAGATGAGGTTCTACAATTTTTTTTGCATATACAAGAGTTTTCATTCGACATTTGACATGAAAAGAAGTTCCCTCATGAAGCAACCTCAGAGTTGTCGCTGGCTCAAATCTTGATCTATCAGGATCGTTGTAAAACTACACGATTATTCAATAAAATCGTCCGAAAAATGATAGAATTTTCAAGCGAGTTCAATCGGGATCCGGTTGAGTTGAGCAAACGCAGTTGATTTGAAATGAAGGAGAGATGGACAAACCTGAAATTGGGGGATTCAATTGAGCACCTATGGAATTCCAGATTGGCCAGACTTCTTCTATGTATTCCGAGAATCCATTCCACCATACTTCGCGGTGCAGTCTCACCAAACATATCAACTTTTTCATTTGGGATTTCTCCATTTCTTTGATTCATTCAGTAATCCGGGGACTTCAAAGAGTAAACACAGCAGGTTTAACAGTGATTCATATGAATGCAGCGCTTGATGAGATAGGTTTTCAACTGTTTCGTTCTATTTTCAGTCTACAAAAATTCCATTTCTTTTTTACCCTAAATTTTTTTGGAAAAAGTGCATTGTCCTTGAATTCAAAAAGTATGTAAATCTGTAAATTGTTTCAATTCTTCCATTGGAAGAGAATAATTGAAGGGGATTGACTGGATTGAATAAGACAGGAATTGAATGTGTTTAAACAGCATTGATCAGCAATTGAAAAAGTAAAAAATCGGGTTTTCTTATGAGATGGCTTGATGAAGCTCAAGTATTGAGATGCTGGGACCTTAACAAGCTTGAATCGTTTGTTACTCGATTGAGAAACTGCAGGAATGGCTTTTTGAAATTGCACATTAGATGTTGAAAGATCGTTGGCCTGATAAAATTTCTCAAACGATTCCAGTTGCACTTGTCCCATATGAGTTCGTTTCCTACTGGCGAGTGAAGCAATCACGGGGTGGTCCGATGTCGATGGAGCAGTTGAAGTGGTAATTCTTGAGGAATCATTTCGCGAAAACGATCCAAAGTCACCTCGTGCTTCATAAGTACCTGATGTGACAGTGGCGTTTGGAAGAGTCAGAAATTTCTCAGATGATTTCGAAGGCTCTGGTGGGTTTGATGGAATAGAGAAGCTTGGTGAGAGCTTGTCAGCGTTCAACAAGTCCGCGTTGTGATCTCTAACTTCTACTTCTCCTCGGGTAGAATCCTCATCATCAGTCCCGTCAATATTCAATTCATGCAGGTCAATTATATTCATTTTCGGTGCCCTCTTTTTGATGATGTGACTAACACTCTTCAAGAAGAAAAGATTCGAGATCAAGTTGGCATCAAGTTCATCCCATTTTTTGTTGAGTTCTTGAATTTGAGTAAGTGCCCGTGGTGTCGCAACCTTAACACAGATTCCTTTCGCCATAGATCGATGATTTCTCTGGGAGGTTTCCAGGATGTCCAGAAGTTCCAACATAAAAGTCCAAGGGAGAGGTCTCTTACTCAGTCGATGGCGGAGTCTTGCATGGTAGGACTCAATGATGTTGTTAGTCCTGTGTGTTGAACGATAAACAGAGAACTCTTTTTGCCTGTGTGACTCTATCCAAGTTTGCTCCATGTATGCAATGAAAGGCTGAAACATTGTGGAATATTTTTCGTTCATTGTTGCAATAATTTCCTTGAAGGCTGAGTGTATGTGAGAAATTGAGAGTAGTGCCAGCATCATGAATAGTCTCAGAAACGACTTCCCGTCTTCATCTTCTTTAATCTTCTTCCAGATTTTAAGCTCTCCAGCTCTCTTTTGAAGGGCCTAAATATTTGTAAGAACATAGTAGGCATTAAAAAATTAAGTGGGAAAACCTAGCGTTTCATCGAGTTCTATTAGAATACTATTGTCAAATTCTGTTGTTTTTTTTTGTTTCAATGCTATTGAAAATTATGCACTCGATCATTTTACAACTCAGTTCAATTTCATTCGATGAATGAATCATCGTTGACATTCATCAAGCAATTTTCTGTATATCAGGTAAATTACGTTCATAAACGTTCATTCATTGATTCAGCAACTGACTGTTCATCTATTTTATGCATTTATACCCTGAATAACCCAATGAGAACGTGTCAGTTGTTATTGAAACTGCTGGATATCTCATTTTGTTCATTTGTAAGTATTTTTAACGATTAAAGTAAACCGTTAAATCAATCCCAAATATATTATTTAATTCATCCATTAATTTTTCTTCTGACAAATTTAACAATTCTCATTTCATCAGTCAACGAAATAAATTAGTCAATAATTTAATTATTCTATCAATCATGACTTGAATATTGGAACTTCTATTGATTTATTCTATAATAGGAAAATCTTATCAAATCTTTGCGCCATTTATATAGAAGATATTCAATAGATAAGTAAATTAATTTTTTTCTTCATGAGAAGTCTTAGGCATGAATTTTCGTGAGTTTTATCATAGGAAACGTATGTGAATACAACGGAAAAGACTTAGAAAATGTACTTAGAAAATATATTCAGTTTTCTATTAAATATCTTCAATTGGAATGACCTAACAGTAAATAGAATTTCAATAGAAATTCAATTTAATTTCTTTTTCTCTCTCGGTTTTTCTGTTAAATTTATTCATACGTGTAATTTCTTAATTCATTCATTCATTTCGGAAGTGTCTAATCGAATCCAATTAATATCCAGAAATGATTAGAATGTAATTCTTCTCTTCAACTTTATTTATTGAGAAATTCTTAGTAATGAGAATCCATAGGTGAAAATTGAAGAAACAATTCACTAATCAAAGGATAGATCAATAATTAAATATTGAAAAGAGGATAGACACAAAGTTACGGAAATTTTCGAGAGAACCCGCATAAAACTAATAGAACGTTCATGAAAGCTTAATAGAAATTTGAAGAGAATTTTCCGAAAAATTCACGCGCTTTTTCTATAACATTATTTTGTGTTTGCTTGTCAACTCACTTGGCAAAAGGGGAAAAGGCATGCAATGAGGATTGCTAGTGGCAGGAATTTTCTGAGCGAGTTTCTTGCAGCAATTTCGAAATCGGTCATAACAGTTCCTTTATAAGTCCCAAAATCGGCAAAAATCTTCCCAAAAACTGCATCATAGGCTTGTTCTGTTTTTCTGCTTATGATTATCCATGCAATTTTATAAGGCTGTGAAGTTTTCAATCAAAACCAATTCAGATAAAAATATGAAAAAAAATATTTTTGGTTCAAACACTTCCCGCAAATTCCGAAACGTTTAGTTTAAATCACAATGTGACAGACGCAAATTTCTCGTTACCCACGGCGTGAAATAAATTATGTACCCGGATATTTTGAAAGTATATTGTCTATACAGAAGCTAGACTCGATCTTTATCTCTGTTCATACTGCAATAGAATTGTTTTAATTATTGAAAGTGGAATATAACATACCAGGTTCTCTTCTACTGCGATCACTGTAAGCAATTGATAATTCTTCAGATTCTTTCTATCAGCAATTAAAGGAACTCTGGAGAAAGTACCATCAATGCAAATCATATCTGCATGGATGAATTCTTTGAAGAATTCAGGATTCCAAATGAGGACCGAATTACATCCGTCATAATCGGTTAACAATTCTACCTTTAATTTTCCATAAGCGTATGTAAGACGATCAGTCCATTGCTCATTTGACATAATATCATAGAATTCACGGATTCCTCGAGTAATTTTCGGTGGGGAAGGGCCACTTTTCTTTGTTCTCTGCATCGTCTTTCGTTTGCTTTTATAAGGGAAGTCTTCGCTAATTTCAGGGTAACTATAGTAAATTACAATTATTATCATCGGTAAGAACTCTGCAACCTCTAAATAACGTACTCCTTGGCCACTTCATTATATACGCGGTGGGGATCAGCACGCTTGGACATTTTTGCTTTCAATGCATTGTGAAAATCTTGTTTTCCTTGTGCCGTCTCGTCCGGGTCACACGCATGAGTATTAGTAATTCGAAATCCATTTTCATCTTCGACAGCTCGACCGAAACAGTGTCCAATGAATTTACGTTTATAATATCTGAAGGAAATATTTACCAGAATAAATATTTTGCGGCGTAAATGAATCAACCCATAGAAATAAATTGGTTTTCACAAATCAAATCAATATCTCCTGGAAAATACGCAAAAAGTAAATTAATCGTAATCTGCTAGTAATGGAAACTCACTTGGCCTTCCCCTTCTGGCCTTCAGATTGATAGCTATATCCATCGACTATTTTTGGCATTGTCAGAGATCAAGGAAAAACCGGGTTCATCATTCAAACATATATTTCAAAAAATTAACAAACTCACCGAATGATTGATAAAAATGAAGGAATTATTTTGTTGCTATATTGCTGAAAACAATGGCGATTTATATTAAAAACAGTTGAGGGTTCATGGAATGTAATGAAAAAACTACAACTTCCGGAAGCTCAGAAAAAGATTTAGATGGAGGTCTTAAAAAATTTAATTAACAAATCGAGTGCTCTCTGAAAAATTACATTGGATGTCTATTGTAACTCCATAAAAATTTGATTTGAAAATTTTATCAGAATTCTATTGGACATTTATGTTGTTTTTTTGTACCAATTCGATGACAAACTATTCTAATTTATTATGCTTTTTTTTATAGGCATTCAGATAGAGAAAAAAAAGGTTTATAGATGTTAAATAGTTCGATAATTTTCTGTGGTCATGAGTTTTCTGTCCTGAATTTCACTACGGCAAACGAATAAAAGTACAGCGGGAAAATTTTGAAAATATACACCCACAAGTTTTATAGAAATTGAAGAGTTTATAGACATTTTCTGTCAAATATCATATTGACAAAATAAAATGGCAAAGATGCATAATCGTCTATAGAAACTATGCAAAAAACAAACACAACTTTGTATGAAAAATCTGATAGTACTCCTATAGTTCTAATGAAATTTCGAAAGGGATCTTTGTCCAAGTTTTTTATACCAAATTCTTCCATGTGCGAGTGTATATGAGGAATAATCCGTGCTGGAGCCTTTGGGTATCGAGAGTAACTGTTCAAATTTTTCTTCACTCTTCCGATAGAATCCTTTCTATAGAATTGAAAATGAAAATAAAAAATAACTAGTGAAAGATCTTAAAATTCGTACAAATTCGAGAGCTTCCAGCAGCATTCACAGAAATTCCCCAATGTCTGGGGTGGCAGGGAGAGACCAGACGTGGGCAAAAAGAGAAAATTATCCACAACGTCAAAATTTCATTTTGTTTAGTTTAATCAAGTTCGAGGAACAGGATGATCCATTACTCCGCACAGTGAATGACATCGAAAGAGTAAAATAATTACAAACCAGGCAAATTATCTATTCACCAGAAGAATATTAATGATTTTCTTATTTAAATTCAACATTCCTCCAACTCATGTTGATCGCATTCACCTGAGAATCTTTTCAAGAAAATTCAAGCAGAGTTATTCAATAGATCAATAACTCTGTGGAAAAATATCTCTTGATATTTTTTGGTGTCATCATCTGGTTACAAATTAATTTTTCGCGTGTTGTTTTAAGGTTGATGTTCTAAGGTTTCTGATTCGAAATATCCATCCTGGGGCTGCTGAGGAGTCTCTCGAACATTTCTCTCTGATTTCTTTTTCTTCTCAGGTTTCAGGTACAGCTGATACTAGTGATATGTGAAGAGAGTAGTTGTACTCTGTAAACTCGGGTTGAGCTCTCCACAGTTCGGCATTCATTATTTCCACAGTTGGCCCGAGGAGCAATCTATGTTGTCAAAAATATCAAG